CCCAGGGTATTTCTTGAAGGAGTTTTTGCGGGATGCAAAAGCAGAATGTTTTCCTCCCATGTGTCTCCTCCCTCAGGTATAAGTGACTAGAGAACAGCACACAGACATAATAAAAAGAAAAAAAAAATAAATAAATGTAGGAGTGGGACTTAGAGTGCCTACCATTAGGCTTGGACAACTCACTCTATCCCTCTGTGTTATCCCTGTTCAGGTGTGGGGGAGAAACAACCATCTGGGGATCTGGGGGGCTGACTAATCACATCCCACCACAAGCCAGCTCCATCCTGCCCCGAGTTCCACACAGTGCTTGGCTTGACTGCCCACATAAAACCCAATTTCATGTTAATACTGTGACTCACTGCAAATAATCCACAGTTTGGCTTTGGAATGCAAGCCCTTTGTGAGTCTGGTAAATAAAGATAGCTGCTGAGTGTTACTACGGTCTCCTTTCCTGGGAGATGAGAGCCTCTCCCTTTGGAACAAAGTGAGGGTATGAAGTCTAATCTAGTTTATTCATTTTGGTAAATGGTTTTTTTCCTGTTTGCTTAAGTTTGCTGTGTCAGGTCAGCATGGTCACAGTGCTTATTAGCAAGTGCTACATAAGCCTATGTACCACATGCAGCAGCAGCAGCTCACCCAGCTGAAATTAGGGTGGTAAAATGTGCTTTTCTGGCATGCTGCTTTTCATAAAAGTTTCTGGCATGGCGAATTCTGGGGTTGTTTTTTTCATCAAGATCTGCTGGTTCTGCATGTGATCAAGTACTATACAGTTAATATGACTGATGTTCAAAGGAAAAAAACCACAGCTTGGCACTCCCCTCCAGAAGTAAGCACACCACAACACTTAACAATGAGGGCTTGTTCACTTGTGATTATAAACAGCCATGTTGGTGCCTGCCAGGCACAGCATTTCAACTTCAGCTCACGGGTCAGCAAGTCTGGGGTATGTTTTTCAAGTCTGTATGTAGCTAAGGCTTAGGTGTACCGATGTAGAGAGCTGTTCTACCTGATCCCTCTGCTCCTGCCATCAGGCAGAACTGACAGCCCTGGTATCCACTGCATACCTCATGCATACCACACGTGGGATAGTCCATGACACCCAGATCTGACTGCTGAGGGCTGCCAGCAGAAAATGCCCCGAGCCTCATCTCTCTGCAGCTTTCCCTGACTCCCTCTTTCTGCTTTGCTCTCAGAAACCTCTCCTGGAGTTAGGGCTGGCATACGTTCTTGCTTACCAAGGACAGCAAGTAGGATGCAGCCGCCCGAGCAGGCATTTAGAGGCAGAAGAACAAAGTTCCTCTCCTTTTCCTGCCTGAAGGCATTTCAGCTTGCTTCTCCCTCTTTCCCGGCATGCTGTAAGTGCTGGAGCAGGCAGGGCAGGCTCTGGTAACCCCCTTCCTGCCATGCTTAGGAGGAACCCAATTCAGCACATGTACGTTTTGGGACTGGCTGTCATATCGGCCCTTTAAGAATGTCACAGTCCCAGTGGGACAGGGACAGACTGAGCTGCCAGGCTTCTCGCCGCTGCTGCTCAGCACAGGGCCAGAGCAAGGGGCCGGGCAGCGGCTGTAGGAGCTCAGACTGATGCTGCCGAACCCAGCTGCTGGCAGCCTGAGCTCGCCTGTGGCTCTCGCAAGCGCCAGCCGGGCTCAGAGGCGCCCAAGCAGCAGAGGAAGGGAAGGAAGGGAGGGAGGAAAGGGGGAACCCACGAACCTCAAGGCAGAGGCTTACCCTACCCCGTCCGTCCCCCCGCTCCCTGTCCCGCACTCATCCCGAGGCACTGCGGCCGCACCTCCCGCTCCGCCGCTCTCCGCACTCGTGACCAGCGACACACACGGGCTGGCTGCCGAGGGGAACCACCGAGGGACGCGACAATTGTCCCTCCCTGTCCCTCCCAGCGCCCGGGAGCTCAGTGCCCCTCTGGAACAGGCGCACGGCCCAAGCGGGGTCCCGCTTACAGCTCCGCAGCGGGACAGCGTCCGGGCTTTGGGTACAAAGTTGGCAACTTAAAGAGTGCCTCTAAAACCCCCAGCACGCCCTCCCTTAAAAACCCAACACCGGAGCGGCTCTCGGGCCGCAGCCTCCGCACACGCGGCAGGGGACCCGGGACGGGCAGCGCACACCGGGGCGGGATGCAAAAGCAGAATGTTTTCGGGGGATCCCGGGCGGGCAGCGCACACCGGGAGATCCCGGGCGGGCAGCGCACACCGCGGGATGAGGACGGGCAGCGCACACCGGGGGACCCCGGAATGAGCAGCACACACCGGGGGATCCCGGGCGGGCAGCGCACACCGGGAGATCCCGGGCGGGCAGCGCACACCGCGGGATGAGCAGCGCACACCGCGGGACCCCGGGCCGAGCCCGGAGACGCGCACGCCCCCCCACCCCGCCGCTCTGTCCCCCGCTCCGGCCCGGCAGCGGAAATCCCCCGGCTCTCCCCTCTACCCCGAACCGAAGCGAAGCGAAGCCCCGCTTGCCCCGTACCTGCCGGCCGGCCCCGGCAGCGCTCCCGCGGGCCGCGCCGGGCTCGGCTCCGCTGCAGGGCCGGGCCCGCTCCGCTCCCCGCCCACCGCCAGCGCCGCCAATGGGCAACCCGGGCCGGCCGGGCTGCGAGCGCCCCGCGGGTGCCGTGAGTGGGACTGCCTGTGTCCTACGGCTGTGTGTGCCCCACGGCTGTGTGTGCCATGTCTGCCTGTGCCCCACGGCTGTGTGTGCCCCACGGCTGTGAGCTCCATGTCTGCCCGTGCCCAATGGCTGTGTGTGCCCCACGGCTGTGTGTGCCCCGTGGCTGTGTGTGTCCCATGTCTGCCTTGCCCCACGGCTGTGTGTGTCCCACGGCTGTGTGTGCCCTATGGCTGTGTGCCTGTGGCTGTGTGTGCCCCATGGCTGCCTGTGCCCCACGCTGTGTGCCCGTGGCTGTATGCCCCATGGTTGTGTGCCCCATGTCTTCCTGTGCCCCACGGCTGTGTGTGTCCGTGGCTGTGTGTGCCCCATGTCTGCCTGTGTCCCATAGCTGTGTGTGCCCCATAGCTGTGTGTGCCCCATGGCTGCGTGTGCCCCACGGCTGTGTGCCCCATGGCTGTGTGTGCCCCATAGCTGTGTGTGCCCCATGGCTGTGTGTGCCCATGGCTGTGTCCCATGTCTGCCTGTGCCCCATGGCTGTGTGTGTCCCATAGCTGTGTGTGCCCTGCTATGGGACACAGCAGCCCCCTGCACACTCTGCTTGGCCCCACAAGCCTCACTCAGTGTATTTAGTTTGCTGGCGGTTTTAAGTTTCAGGTTTCATCCCCCTAATCACAGTATATTCCATCGAGCAGAAGGGTACACATGGATGACATTGTGTAAGGATTGTTTCAGGGATAAAGTACCCCAGTGTTTTACAGTTAAGAAGAGGGATATAAATAGAACCACACATGACACTGGTCCAAAACAGAAACCAGACCTCCTCCCAAGCTTTGGATCTCAGCTTCTAACCACTTTTGTGGTTACAGTTACACATATCTATGTAGAGAACAATCTATTAACACCGGAATTGACGTTGCAGGGAAATCTTTAGCATTTCCCTCTCCCACCCACTCATCCCCCGTATGACAGTGCCAGGAGGGTGGTGGTGTTGTGGGCAGAGGCTGTGAGTGTCCCTCAGCCCTGCTGAAGGTGCTGCAGGAGAGCTGAGCTCTGTCCCTTGCCATGTGCAGTCACACAACCCCAGGCCTGGGCTGATCTATAATTCAGGTGCTTGCTCACTTTCTGTAATAGCTTTTCTATTTTTAATGGGAAGTGATGGACCTGTCAAGGTATAAGAAATATTTTTTTTCCCAGGTTTTCATTTTCTTTGGTAATAATAATGTGGGCTGGGAAGCTCATGGTGCACTTTAAAGCTAAAGTGCTTGGCAATCATGGGAGTTTCCTCAAGACCTTATTCCTTTACACTTTGTGTTTGTGTCAGACAAATGAGGACACAGACTAAGTTCAGTGCGTAGCAGAGGGAGGATTGCAGAGAGGGCCATCAGGCCACTGACAAACCCTGAAAACCTGGGAGAAAGCTCAGCACAGAGGGGAGGCTGCTGGGCTGAACTGATCCAGGTTATCACTATATATAGTGATTTATATATATATCAGGGCTTTAGTGTGGGCTATTTCCAGTCCTCCTCCCTTTTCTGTGGGACTGAGTGGTCTGTGGCTGCAAGGAGCGTGGTCTGCCTTTGCAGACTGCTTCTCACACCTGGGAGCTGGTTTGTGTTGTGCTGGAGTGCCAGCTATGTTGGGAGTAGTTTGCTAACTCTGGGGAGATCTGCCCAGCTTAGAAATTCATTCTCTACAGAATACTGGGGGTTTTTTTAACAAGATCTAACTGTAAATATCTGTAAACTATAAATAGACAAAACATTAAACTAAATATGCCAGAGTTTGTCTTAGCTGTCAGACTAATTCAGATCTAACCAGCCACAGATTATTACTCTGAAACTGTTTTTCTTCCTCCTATACATTAAAATTATTCTAAATTTGCTCTCATGTTATGCTAATCATAGTTCTTTATTACTGAGATGTAATACTTTATTTTTCTTGTTGTTTCTCAGTATGTTCACCTGGACAACACATCAGCCAAACACAGCATTGGGTTGGCCAAACCACCTGGGATTTGAATGGGTTTTTTTGTTCCTCTTCAGTCAGAAGTGGAGGTGTGCTCAGGCAACTGCTGCACGAGGCAAGGGAAGCCCTGAGATACACTCTGTGTTACAGTCAGTATTAAGCAGCTGCAATTGAGAGCTGACTTGCTGCTGGTATTTTGTTTGTTTGTTTTGGAAGCTCTTACCCACTTGCTTGAATTCCTTACTGAGACACAAACTAGGAGTTCCACCAGTAATCTTAAGAGTTATTTGATAGGCAGGCTCAGGAGCTCTGTTTTTCCTGGCTGTAAACCCAAACATTTGTGGGACCACTTGAAAAAGCTGCAGCCCAATTTATCAGCTTTGAATGCAACTAGAGCAAGGTGAAGAGACTTTATCTGATTGCCTCTGGCATTTTCTCCAAAGCCACTTGTTTCTCAGTAGCAGAAATATCTTGCCCAATTGGGATGCAATAATTTCAAAGCAAGTAAAGGAAACTGCAGCTGCTCAGCTGAGTCAGCCAAAGGTAAGCTCTGCAGGGGAGAAAATGTTTTTTTATTATCTTCTAGTGGCAAAATTACTACAACAGCCTGCAGGAAAAGATTAGATTATAATAGTAACAAAAACATCTGTTAAATTCTCAGCTCTGTGTATGTTTAGTGCATGTTTGGAAAAGAAGAAAAAACAACTCAGGCATTTGATAAAATTCTTTTGAATAAAACTCAGTATTTAGATTCAGTTTGGGATGTTAGGAACCCACTGTGATCATAGGATAGACAGTGGTTTTAACTAATTGACTACATGGGGCATTTAGTCAGTGGACAAGACAGCTTTTAGCAATGGAGATTTTACTGAACTGAGCTTGGCATACTGTGACCTAATGAAGGAATAAGACAACTTGTGTTCATCATCCAGGTGACCTGTAGGGATGAGTGACCTCTGTCCTGAGTGGCAGTGTGGGGTGTGGGGGATGAAGGTTTGCCTGATCTGGCTCCTGGGGGATTCAGCCAGTCAGCCTCTTCAGGAATGTGTGACTTGCCGTGACTGATTTGTGTCTCTGAAGCCCTACCAGCTTCCTCTGCCTGCTTTAGAAAGGAGTTGTTCCAAGTGTGACAGTGCAGAGGTCACATCCATGCTCAGCTCTGTCAGTACAGGCTGGAGCAGAGTGCCAGTTTCCAGATTCTCACTGGTCCATGTGCCTTGAGGCTGCTGCCCAGCAAACCTGTGTCAGAGGCTGCTCATGCCTTAGGGCATCTCTCAGCCCTGGTGCAGGAGATTACCCACCTCTTGAGTGGCCCTGGGAGCCTGGCTGCAAAGTGGTTGTCCAAGTGATGAAAGTATTCCTGAAAGCAACCTCTGCTTGCTCCTCTGCCCTTTGCATAAGGCAATGCTCAATCAACATGCTTTTGTTTTAAAGAGGCACTGCAGTGCTTTGTGTGTGTGTAGCACTTCATCCTCAGGATCTTGAAGTGCAGCATAAATTCTAATAACTGTGAGGGTTTGTAGCCTTCTCACAGGGAGTTCCGCTCTTGGGGAGGTTCATTTGGTCACAGGGTGCTTGGTCACTGGCACAGAGCAGTGGGTTATTTGCTATTGTCCTCAGCAGCAGCGGGCTCTGGCTCAGTGAATCACCCGGAGCTGAGGAACATCCCCAGAGCTCCTGACTCACAGCCCACATGCCTCACCACAGGGCCATGTCACCAATCTGTGACCCTTACAAAAGCTCTTGTGTGCAAGGACAACAAAACCTCCCACATTTGCAGATTCTAAAGTTACAAGTTTGTCTTGGTGTTTGCTGCACCCTTCCCTGCTCAGACCTCAGCCCTGCTCCATGAGTACAGTGCTGTAGAGTTGGAACTTCAGTCTTGAATAACCAATACTGATCAGTAATTTCTCAGTGGATCCAGTGGGTTGGTCGTGATGAGTCTCCAGGCTGCACCCAAGAACTGCCCAGTGCAGGGACTCACAGGAGGGAAAGCTCAGAAATCTGACCTCTCCTGGGGAGCAGGATGGGTGAGCACACACTGATGAATGAGCAGGAGCCCTGACATGCTGCAGCCCCTGTTCTGAGTAGTGTTCCCCAGTAGTGGGAACAGGCTGGAGCTGAAACACAAAAGGTGAAGGTGAGGAAAAGCTGAGGTAAGAGAATATAAAATGTCAGGCCTGTGAGAAGGTGCAGGTGTTCAGTGCAGAGAGGGATGTAATATTAGAACAAAATGTATGAAATTAATGTAGGAAAAAAAAGGTGTGTCCAGAAAAGTTCCTGAATGCATATTTTAGCATGCTGTGAGAGAATGCTGCCCCTTCTGAGCTCAGCCTTCCTTCCAGAAGGAACCATTCTGGGCACGTTCTTGTGAACCCTTTTCTTACTGCTGCTATCCTGTCTGAACAGTGATCTCATATTCAGTGTGCTTTTATTGCACAAGATAAATCATGGTGAACAAATAACTGGTGAGCAAGTGTTTCAAAGACTAAACTGAGGTAGATTAGCCATTTCAAATATTGAAATAGGGAAAAAAGCATGGGGAACAGAGTGTGATAATCACTGGTTAATGCAAAATGATGTAAATGACTGATTAGTCAAAGACAAATAAAAGAGTGTCATTCCTGAGCCCTGCTTTGCCTATGGATATAGCTTCTATTTATGTGAAGAACACGCTTTGGTCTCTTTGCTTTGTAACTCCTACCCAGGCTGAATGTGTGCATTGCTCAGAAAGGAAAAACCTTCTCTTTGTAAGGGACCTTGCCCCACATCAGTATCTTTTGTGCAGGAAGGCATCTGCTGCCATTGCCTGGGGAAGGTTCATGCATTGAGTGCATGTGCAGAGAGCTCTGTGAAAGGGAACAAAAAGGGGAATCTTTGTTTCCTTTTGTTATCTTCAAATGTAAGGGAACACAGCCATGTGGTGTGTTTTTTTTTTCCAAAATGTTCTACTGACATCCTGGAAACCAAGAGAGCAAACCTGAGCTGGGCAGATCCCCATCCGTTGACATGCTGGGTCTTTAAGTGCAGAGGTGCTGACCTGAATGAGGAATTGGGGATTTCTTCTGAGGTAGAAGAGGTTTATTGGCTTTTAGAGATGGTGTTGCTGCCTGGGCGGTGCAGGATGTATGAGATGACACAGAGGATGTATGAAGGAGCACCTTAATTTGTGAAGTGTAAAAATTGGTGTCTGGTTGAGAAACCAGAGGGATGTTGTGTAATAGGAGGTTTGTGGTTGCTGTTGGGGGACATCTGCAGGAGGAGCTGAGAATTCTGCTCTGTACTTCAGCTCAAGCTCTGCAAAAATTGTCCATGTCCAGGTGGTACCATTCTGCCTTTTTGGGAGAATTTTGGAAGAGTTAATATTTTCCAGAGATTTCTCTTCTACTGATGTACTGAAATGCAGGATGCTTTTCTTTTCTTTTTCTTTTTTTCTTTTTTAATTTATTTTGTTTTTGCTTTTGCTTTTGTTTTATCTGTTCCCAGAATGCCATATTTCATCTCTAACCTCACCCCTGAAGAGCAGCTGGGGGAAGGCACTGCAGGTTGGCTCTGTACCATTTGGGTTGTTTGATTTCATTAGCTTGGGAGCCCTCACAAATGCCTCAGGCCATGCACCTCCTCATGGACCCAACTTGGGAGAATCTCTTGTGCTGCTGCATGCATTAGCCTTCATTAATACAATTAGCATAATAGCGATTAGGATTCATTATTCCCAGCAAAAAGATAAAGCCGGTAATACATATCTGTGAATCGAATTCTCAGTGCCTTGTCTTGGGATTGCTTCATTTTGGAGTTGTTTGCTGTTTATATCCTTCCATCCTCTAGGAAAAAAAAAGAAAGCCATGTAATTGTAAAACTGTTTGGGTCAGAGAAATGCCCCGGGATGATCTTTCAGGCATGCTAAAGAGGTGAAGTGATCTATGGGACCCTCACAGCTCTCACAGCCACTCAACAGTCGAAACTGCAAACTTCATCTTCTTCAAGCACAAAAGCTACTTAGTTTCCCCATGTTGAAGACTTTTTATAATAGCAATAAGACAACTCTAGAGAGAGCCATCTAATATTAACTCCAGGGAGTAATCATCTAATCACAATCTGGGGGTGATTTGAAGCACTCATCTGGACCAAATGCCTCACAACACCCCAGGAGTGGTTTTATTGCATGATAGCAGTACCCCATTGAGCCTTATTGCTTAATTAAAAACAAATTCCCAAGTAATTTTTTTGCCTTTCCATAAAAACACAGTAGTACATAGCATGTATAAAACATCCATTAAATGATGGTAGATGCAAATTTACATTGTGAGATACAATCCGTTTCTTTACCACTTGGGGTTGAAGTTAAATGTAAAACCATTTCCTATAATCTGTGCACTGCTGTGTTTAGAGAGGAATAAATATGGGAAAGAGAGGTTCATTGTAGGATGCCTTGTTTTTGTTAAGTGATATGTTTGGTCCCTTACAAAGAACTCAATTCCTCATCCATCTTGCAGACACAGGAGTCAGTCATTGTGGCCTTTTCTGTTCTTCCTGGAGATTTCCTCAGCTTGTACCATTCCAGGCAGCTTCAGAGGAATGCTGTCCTTGTGTCTGGGATTGCCATGGCTCTCAGAGCAGAGAGCAGTGCTGGTGCTGGGTTTGGGATCACACAGCTCACTGAACAGGGCGTGCCCGTGTGTCTTTGTGGGCTCTGCAGTCTGACAGGGATTAAGCCTGGGAGGTTCATGGTTTATCCACTTTTGGTGGTGCTGCCCACAGCTGATCTCAGGCTGCCCTGGCTGTGGCTGAGATGTCTCCCAGTCCTGCAGTTTCCCTGGGAAAACTGCTACAGCTGTGCCAGGGTCCCTGCTCTGCCAGGGACCCTGACTGTGCATGGGAAGAGTGTGAAAGTCCTTCCAGTTTCTGTAGAGGAATGCCTGGGCTCCCTGGCACCTCTGCAGAGTGCTTTCCTAGCCCCAAGGACTCTGAGTGTTGTTTACATGGGAAAAGGATAAGATGAATGTGTTCTTACAAACAGAGCATGAGAATCTGCTTGTAGATAGGGCCAGGGACTCAGATAGGGAGAGAGGGAAGAAACCATCAGTTCTAGAAACTGTTACTGTTGAGCACAGACTGCTGCTCATCCAAGGCCGTGTTAAATTCCTGAACTCACAGAAAAAGAACAAAGGCTTAATACAGCTAGGAATAGTGTTTTGTTATAAAATAAAAAAATAAAGGGGGTGTGTGTATTACAGGGGGCATGGACTAGAGGATTCAGGGAGTCTGTACCTTCAGAGACATCAGCCAGTGGGGAGAGGAAGAGGGTGATGTGGCCAGGAACTTAGGATAAAGAGCAGGCTGCATCCCCCAGCAATCTGAGAGACGCCTTGGGAAGAGCCCCATGGCCTTCCCTTTTATTCAGATCAAGTTACAGGACTCCTCTGTCTCCTTTTTGGACACAAACCTCTGGTGGTGTGGGTTTTTCTGCACGCATGTTACAGGCAGAGGAAGCAAATCTAAGTTTTTAAATGTTTAACCAAAAATCATACAGGGAGTGATGGAGTCACTGCTCAGAAGTCCTGGCAGCCAAAGCTGTAATTGGGCTTTTGGCCACAGCACTGAAATAAATGGGGGGAAAAAGGGGGGAAAAAAAGACATTTTCCTCAGATTTGTTCATTGGGTTGCCTTTAATTGAATGGTGACAATCTTGCAAGTAAAAATTTTTAAATAAAAGCTGAGAATTAATAGTAACTATTACTCTGGTTGTTCCAGGTGCTGGAGCCTTCTCATGGTATCTACAAGCTCAGGATAGAGGTTGGATGACACTTGTCAGTCTGTCCCACTGTGGGCCCCACTCTGTGCAAATCCTTCTGGTTTTCCCTGTCACATGGTGGTTCCCCAAGGGAGCAATGTGAGTATCTACTGCTGCATTTGGGGTTATGGAGGCTGTGTGCTTTCTCCTGTACTTAGATTTTGTAAAAAAATAATGTTGAGGGTTGTTTTTTTGTGAACGCTTTGATAGAATGCTTTGCTGACTTCATTTTTAATGTGACATTAGAGAGGTGTTAAATGTTGTGGTAGAGGATTTGTTATAAAGAGGCTGCAGCATTGTGCTGAGAAAATGGATGAGAGTAAACTATTGCCTGCTTTTGCTGCCTGGGAACAGTCTGAAAGAGCAGCTAAAAGAATAATTAAACCTGTGTATTTTCAACAGTTCTGTACTAACCAGGGATGTGCCAGGTCAGAAAAGGACATAAAAGAATCTGACAGTATTCTTGAACAAGAAACATTTTTACCTGAAAGATCTCTGCTGGCATTATTAGGAATGCCATTATCTTGCTTTGATCTGACTCTCTAGGACTGGCTGCTCACACAGCTGACCCAGAGCAAGCAGCCAACAAAGGAAAGCCCTAATGGACTTTAATGCCTTTACTGAAGGGTTTCTCTTCCCATCAGATGTGTGTCATTTTACAAAGGCCCCTTTCATCTTAATGTGCCTGCTGGAGCTGGCTGGCAGCAGTGGGGCCAGCCCAGCCCTGGCTAGGGCAGGGTGAGGCAGAGTGGCTGTCCCTGCTGCAGCCCTGTCCCCCTGTCCAGCCCAGCGTGGAGCTGAGGGGGTCTGCAGTGCTGCAGCCTGGATGCTGGGCAGGGCTTCAAAATCTACTGCAAAAAACCCCCAAACAGACAGTGAGAGGTGCCCTACCATGGCTGGTTTTTAGTGGGTTTGGGGGTTTTTTGTTTGTTTCTTTCTTTGGGGTTTTGTGTTTGGTTTTTTTTTTTTTTTTTGGTTGGTTTTTTGGGGGTTTTATTTTTCTTTTTTGTTGTTGTTGTTGGGGTTTTTTTTAGGTTTTTTTTTGGAAGTTGGTTTTGAAGCAGAACCAGGGGTTTGTTGGCCCAAGGCACACCTTGGCCATGTGAAATACAAATACCTGCCTCACTCTGACTGCAGCAGAGCACAGCCCTAGCCTGTTCTCTCATCTGAACACATATAGCTAAGCTTTAGGACACAGAAAAAAAATTATATCTGCCTTTATTTGGCCTTTTAAATGAGGAGTCAGGAATCTTGTGTTGATGGTTCTGGGATATTTATGACTCCCTTTAAGAGTATATCCTTCCACTGAGGAAATGAGGAGTGTGATATTTGAGCTGCTGGAAATGCCTGGCTTAGTTTGGTTCTGTTTCCCGATTTCATTTTGACATGGTAGGCAATTCAGACAATATATTTGCAGCAAGGAAAATGGAGTTGTTATGGAAACATCTGAGCGAGGCAGCTGACACGGGGTAAGGCAGGCACCAGATTCGCTGTGCGCACAGACACACTAAAGCAGCGAGTTCATGTAAGGTAAGGGAGCAGTTTCTAGGCACTGTCTGCTTCCTGGGTGGGTTTTCTGGCGCAAGAGGAAAAAAAAACTACTTTAAAACTGTGAGCATGTGGCTCCATCTTCTGGTACCAAAGCAAAGTGAGTTGCTCTGGATACAGAGGTGATATTTCTGTATCATTTTTATGTTAGCTTCTACGAAAGCAACAACAAACCCTGCAGCAGCAATAATAATAATAAATTAAAATACCTGTGCCCTAGAGCCAAGCTACGAATAGAAGCTGAAGGCACAAACCATTCTGCTGGGAGAAAACTGCTTTTTGAATCATTCCTTAGATGTTTAGCCCCAGGTGGAAGCGGTGTTTGCCCAGCCTGGGCTCTCCCAGGGCAGCCTGGTGCCTCTGTAGGTGCTGCTCTCCTGCATTTCTTTGTTCCCCTCTGCAACGACATCTTTGGCAAAGCAGCTCAAATTCCTGATGCATCCTCGTGGAAATGCGAGCTGGGTAGAAGCAGGAGTGAATGGCTCTTGGAGGCAGACTGCCAGAAGTCAAAAGAAAATAAAGCTGTTTTATGACTTCACCAAACAGTGAATGTTGTTAGAGCGCATATTGCGCATGCTTAATTGAGCTTGATTACTCAATCTGTTCACCTTAGCAACTCATTTTGGTTTAATCAGAAGTAAGTCATTGTTCAAAACCAGGAGGTGTTATCATTTTCTGGGTAAACCTCAGGTTTTCTAAATTATCCTAAAGAATTGCCCCAACTTTGCTGCTTTAGAACAGCACCCAACCCAACGAATCAGAACAAAAGGCAATTTTCTTGTTGAGGTGCTGTCCTAAAGCTATGGTTTGCAAGTCATTGCAAACAGGAGGCACTGCTCTGTAAACACAAAATTAACACTATGGACCATGTGTTTAACTTGGTTTATTCAGTGTACAGATGCAAGTATGTTGTTTTATTCCCCTGGATAGTAAGCCTAGGATAAAAGGACCCCAAATTCTTTGTATTAAGCACTAGTTTTCAGTCCAAACTACTTCATGGCTGAAATGTGACAGAAGGTGAGGGAATATAAATGTAATGGCCCCGTGCTGGTGCCACTCTAAGATCACTGCCATGAGTGATAAGTTACTTGCATGCAGCATTGATCCATGGGGAGAGTTGTGTGGAGACCTGCTTGGAAAGAGTGCATTCCTGCACGGCAGGGAATCATAGCACAAAAATCATTCCCAAAGTAAGCACTAGCCAGGGCTCACCTCACAGCCTCAGCAGCAAGGCTGTGGATCAAAACTAGAGGTGAAACCAGCCTTTACTCTTCACTGTGGTGCTTTTAAGGCCCACACTGAAGGAAACATTTTAAATGGCCACAGGTTGTGCTGATAAAATACAATTGCAACATCCATAGCTGGTATTTAGTGTTTCTAACCTGTCCCTGAGGCTGGGGCACATTGCACTTCCCCTTGGCCCTACCTGAGGTTTTCTCTTGAGGCTGCCTCCAGTTCCTGCAATCTTTCCCCCCCCCCTCCATTTTTCACCTTCACTTTTATCCCGTTCCATTTGTGAAACCAAGCTCTAATTTCTAGAGTCTGTGTCTTTCTCCATATCCTGTGGATTATTCAAAGGGATCTGCTCACCTTTTACTACAGACCTCTTTTATTAGGGAGTACAAATCCTACCCACTGTGTTTGATAAATCAGATCTTTTGCAGACATCTGGAGATTGTATGTGCAAATCCCCAGCCAGCTTGTTTTGTAGTCATTGTTACCATAATTCAGGTTAATGTTGTTGCCACTTTTTACTTGCTAAAACACATGTGCTGCTTTATTGCTTAAGAAAAAAAAAAAAAAGTGGCTGCCTTGGAACAGAAGTTCTTTTAAAACCCTTCCTGCAAATTTGCTGTTTGGAGAAGCAAATGTGAAATCAATTGTCCTATCTTTGAATTACCATTCTGAAAATGCAAGTTGTGAATAGAAATTACTTGGGTTCTGCAGTGGGGAGAGTGTTAAAATCTCGATTGAGAATGATGTACCAATGGAGACCTAAAATAACAAGTGGAACAAGTAAACTTTTAGCTTTTCCTGTAAAGATTTACTTAAAAAATATTAGATCCCAAGCGAGGCTGCTCATGCCAAGTTTTAAATCTCATTTGAATTTTTATAGCTGTTATAATCTCTGATATATAACCTTGGAGATAGGGGCTCGTAACAGAAATACCAAGTCCCTTGACTATTGCCTCACAAAAAAGAGTTGCTGTAATAGTCTGCAATTCTGAGACAAGTTTGCAGGGCTGGCTTATGTCTGCATATCATCATTCAGATGGGTCTGAGCTGGGCTCTCCACATTATCTGACGTTATTTGTAGGTGATGAGCTGTGTGCAGCTGTGCCAGCAGTGCCAGCCTTCCCAGCAGAGCCCAGCCTGTCCTTATCCACAGAAATGCTCCCACAGGGAGCCTTGGAGCTTGGACGTGCTGGTAGGGAAAGTAAAGAACAGCTTATTTGCTGTTTTGCTGTCCTTATTCTTCTGCATTTCTGCACAGAAGAAATGGAAGTTCCCAAGGAGCCAAAAGGATTCCACATGCCAGTGCTCTTCTCCCTCTCATTATCATACGCTTGCAATCAAACTCTAATTTTTGAAATAAAAAACCTGCAGGATTCTTTATTGGGACTATTAAACCTTCAATCTTCATTATTTAGGACGGCTACTTACCTTTTACTCAATGAAGCCATAATGCAACTGCTCCTATAAAAACTATTGAAATGGCTACTGTGGCAGTGAGTAGATTTTCCTCCGTGTAAAATAATCTTCTGTGAGTAAGACATAACTATCATTCACATTAATTAGGCAGCCATATAATGGGGTGTTCAATAGCTATTACATCATTTAAATTCTTCAGCGAGCACCTCAGCCACCCAAGAACTATCCAGCTGAACATTTCTGAGTCCATAATTCTGAAATAATCCTGTAGAGGAAGAATATGCATGGCAGAGTGTTGCAGACAATTTCACCAAGAAAAAAATTAATTTTATTCAGATTTATGGAATTATTTTAACATTTACAAGAAGTGCATAATCCTTTTCTTCCCTCCCTCCCAGAGTAATGGTGCTGTAAAGTGGAGCCTGTTTTGGGGCTGCACTGTGTGTACACCAGAGAATGTCCAAGGAGCTTGCAGCCAGAGGCCAGTGATGGCAGCTGGACACACAGACACAAAACAAGGACATTTCCCTGCACATTCTGCTGTAAACCTGGGGCCCTGGAGCCACAAGGGTCAGCTGGGAAACCCTGACCCACAGAAAAGTGAGTGCAGTCCTGCTTGACGCTTTAGGTTTTTTGCTCTTAAAAATCATATAAGCCCTTAAGTATTTATTTTCAGTTTGGGTTATTGATTTAAACGTTTTGATGTAAAGCTGAAGTGTTTTGATTTGAATATTATAAATAATGTTCTAACTATGTTATGATATATTTTTGTACCTTTTAAGATTAGTTCCTCGGTAAAATGTAGATGTGCCATGAGAGTAGGAGCTGTTCAGATGCCTGTAGAAGGGAATGGTTATTAGAAGATTGGGCAGTGCCTGAAAGTAAATGAAAATAATATGTTTTAAATCAGTATGGTTTGGCAATATGGGAATAGTTCTTAGCAGAATGAAAGAAAGGAATAGCCTAAAAATAGGCTGGGGAGCAGGGCAGGCTAGAATGTAAAGTTTAGACTGTGCCTTTTCCTATCAGTTATGTTATTTTAGCTAACTGTATACTATATTTTTTCTCTTCTCAATGGTTATCATGTACTGTACCTTATCTGACTAACAGTAGAAAGCAGCAGAGTGCTCTGTTCACAGGGAGAGCTCTTAATTCAGTATTAAATGTTGGGTTCTCTGTAGTTTTCCATAATCCCTATGCAGCAGGCAGAGCCTGCAGAGGTAGGTGTCAAACCCAGCTGCAGGTAGTGTCAGTGCTGTTTGCTCTGCAGCCCAGGAGGTTCGTGTTTGCCAGATGGAACTGCTCCTCTCAGCAGCAGATCTCTGTTCCAGAGATCCTCTGTTTTTCATGTTTGCTCCTTGATTTAATTAAACCAGTACACTGAGGGAGATTTCTGCCTTACCAAAATCATTCATTTTCATCTGTGGGGACTTAGAGCTGGAGTTACCACAGGAGTGACAGAATTAAGGATGGGGAGCATGAGACAAGGGCAGGTGAAACCTCTGGGCAATTCCATGGAATCACTGTTGCTGTATGATTGATTTTGGTATGTAGGACCATGGGCTGGTGAATGCTGCAGCAAGACAGGCTTGATCAGATTTTGGGTTGGCTAACAGCAGGAAGGAAGGTGAGCATTTGTTATGGAAATGGGCACATGGAACTGTTCTGGTAAGGGGCTGAGGGATTGCTCTGTTCAGACAAAATCAGGGCCACGCTGGTTTTGAGAAAATACTGCTGCTGTTTTCTGAAAGCATGGTCTGGATCAGAATTCTGTGCTCTCTCTTACACTTCTCTAAAACACTGGATGAATTTAATACATAGAGTTAACACCAGCTACTCGCTGCTGTTATTTCAGTGATTTAATATGAGTTTGTCAGTCATAGATGGTTTTTTGGGGTTTCCACTGTATTGCTATCTAACTGATTTTTTAGATGAAATCTCTCTCAAAAAGAATTTTCCATGTGTTTTCTTGGATGTGAATTGGCTTCAATTTCAAACATATCCTACAATGAATTATTTTGAGGTTTCAAACAGAAATTATGGGATTTTTTGTTTTTCTATTCTTGCTTAAATGTTCAAAATTCAGTAACTTAATTGCTTTAATTGCTTTAGTTCATATTATTTATAAATATGCATACACAGTAATAGGGGAGCAGAAATGTGTGTAAGGTAGTGAGACATTGCTGACTGCTGCTCATTCCCTGGTTAGTGAGAGTTTAGGTGTAAAAATCATGACAAAAAATCTCTGCTGAGTGCAATCCAGAGTTGAACATGGGAAGGATGAAGCATATTAGAGACAGCTGTGATTAGTTCTCCAATTTCCCAATATTAAATCCATTAGGTATTTACTGTCTCAGCTAATGAAGAGACAGGGAATGGCTGTGAATGGGCAGGGGAGGGCTGGTGAGCTGTCACTGTCACCTCTCCCAGCTTCTGAGGAAGTTCTTCGACCAGCACTGGGGAGTTTAGTGTGCTTCAGGAAAAGTGAGCACAGAGCCCGTGCCAGGTGGGACTTGGTTGATTTGTTGGGGGTGGCAGTGACCCAGCTCTGGGTGGTTCAGCTGCAGGGAGCCATGGCTTTTGGAACATCTGGAGGCTTTGCAAAAAGGCCTCTGAGCTGATTCAGCAGCTGCAGGAAAGGATCCTGAATGCCTGGGCTGTTCAGCTCTTGTTGTTCTGCATTTGTCACCTCTCTGTGCCACTGCCTGGCATTACTCTGGGGAGCCTTTGCCATCTCCTGGGCACTCTTCACTGTAGATATCACTGTGCCTTGCTCTTACCAAGGCACTGCCAGGCAGTGTTTGTTTTTGTGCTTGTTGAAATAGTTTAAAAAATGCAAGTGCCAGTAGCTATGGGAAGTTGTATCGTGTTCATCTGTGTCCATATGGTAAAACATGTTCTGTCCTTCACAGCACAATGAGACATGATTGTGCCTAATTCCAATTTGTATGGCATCCCCATTAATGTCTCTTTCAGCCCTCCATTAAAGGCCCTTAATGTTAATTAACTGGACTATGCCAATAAAGTTCTATTAGCTTCCCCCTATTAATTTAATATTATAGGCATTAACAGATGTCTTAATTAGATGTTACACTGAAGGCTGTGAGGAAAATTAGAACTAGGTCATTGTCATGAAAGGAAATTTTCTGTTATGATTTATGGCTTCTGAAGTTTTGTTTGTTTTTCCTTCTGACCTCTTATAGGAAACTGAGAGTTTTCATTTTAGAGAACATTGAAAGGAGTAATGGGTGGAAGGTAGAAAATAACTTATGTCTAACAGCTTTAACACATACTGTTCTTACTTCACAGATAAAAGTTCTCATTGGTGTGAAATGACTATTTCTCCATAATATCTGTCCCTGGCAGGAACACTGTTTCCCCCATCTCAAGGGCAATACTTCATGGAATTGCAACAAAGATTTTTATTTCTATATCAACTGCTTCTATGTGCTGATTCCAAAGGATCTGTTCTTGAACACCAGGATTGCCCACACTGAGTTCATCCATTCAGGGATGGTGAAGATGGTTTGTGTCTGAGGTGCCAGGGAGGTGCAGCTCTCCTGTGACCTCTCCCAGCAACAGGTCAGGAAGGGAAGTGGGAGCTCTGGGGGCCAGGTAAGTGTTTGTAGCACTGGGGTTGGAGGTGGTGCTGAGCTCTGGCTCTCTGCTGCCCTGTGTGCCCCCCAGAGCAGGTAAAAGCTCTGACTGCCCTCCCAACCCAGCTACTCAGCTTTGGGGTGTGATTGTGTCAGGAACAGCTGTGCTCTCTTTAAAGAAATTACCCTGGTTGCCTACCAATGCTTGAATGGTGACAGGAAAAAAATTCCTAGGTACAAGTCTTTCATTTGATAGTGAAATTGATGAAAAGCTCCTGAAAATTACACTTAAAGCCACCACAGAAGCACTTTTATAACAGAAAAATGTTAAGCAATCTAAATTCAGGGGTCACTTCCACCTCCCAAACACGTCAGACCTGTCCAGTCAATGAGGGATTGTAACCTGGGCAATCAAAAATGAAGTGTACAATAAAAAAGGGGCTGAGAACAGACTAAGCACAATAGCTCTGTGACAGGTTAAATATTCATAAAGCAATTCTGTGGGTAATTGAAATACAAGATTGAATGGAGGTCACTTCCACCTGTGAATTTCTAGCTTCAAGTGATTCTGTTCTGGGCTGTGCTGTGTCCCTGCCCTGTGCCATGACACTGTGTGCTATTGACACAGATACACATACCTGACCTAGCCTGAGAGCAGCAGGCTGTTGTGAGCCCTGGGCAGCAGCCAGCCTGCAGGCCTGCATGGTTAGTTATACATAAACATTGAGCAGCAGGCTGTTGTGAGCCCTGGGCAGCAGCCAGCCTGCATGGTTACAGTTATACATAAACACTGTACACACCTGTAAGAATATCAGCCCCAGCCAGGGGCTTACTCAGGTAAAACCTGCCACTGAAACAATTTATTTGCATGTGCCTGCAGCAGGCCAAGCATGTGCCCTGCCACTGAAACAATTTATTTGCATGTGCCTGCAGCAGGCCAAGATGCTGATGCTAGCCCAGGAATAATGATTATAAACAGCATTTGTCAGCACCTGCAGTCTCACTGCAAGCAGCTAACAGGCAGCTAAAGCCCAATTTATCCAGAAGGCAACAGTAACATTTATTACAGAGTTACAAAATATAATTGTCAGTGTACAAATTTACAACTATAAACTGAAACAGAAGTCAGGTAGTTAATATTAATCATACAGCTTTAATACAAGATGGAGTATTATATACAAATAAAAAAAATGGACACAACCAATTTCAACAGAGACTGCTTAAAGACAGCAGATACTGCTCATTCTTCAGTAAGAAGAAATGCTTTATAAATATTTCAGATGGCTGTTGCTTCTTCCATGTCCCAGAAAGTCTGCCCTTTGAGCTGCAGGAAAACATGTTTCTATGAATGCTTCTGAGTTTCCATGAGCTCACAGGTCAATAGTTCCTTTCAACTTGAATTTCTTTGCAGATCTCTCACTTGCTCTGAGCAGGAACTTGCTGCCGTAGATGTAGGAAATGAACCCATCAAGCTCCAGGCTGAACACGTTGTTGAGTTTGGGAACAACTGAAATGCAAAAGGACACAAACTGAACAAAGTGTGCTAATGGAAGTCCCTGCAATGGAAATATCCTGACACACCAGGGGATCTTATTCACCTGGAGATTTGAGCCTTGACACATTTCAAGGTTTTTGTACTTTCTCAAGAGAAGAAAAATAACCCAAGCCTCCATGTTTAACTGGAATTACCAAAGTCAGTCCTCGTGCAGGAGCAGTGTTGCACTTTTTAAAAACTGCTCATCTCTTACAAGATGTGTCTTGGACAAGCTATTGGGCTGTTGGGTGGTGACTTCTGCCACTCTATGCAAAAAGCCAAAAGCACTGATATAAACCAATGCACTCAGAGGCCCAAAATGAAGAGTGTGCTCAAGAATTTTTTATGATTCCTGTCATGAAAAGAACTGAAAAAGAATGCCTTGTATACCTTTTAACTTGTCCTCTTTAGTGATAATTTTGAAGACGTGTTTAAATTCCTGTAGAATGATTCCTGTTATCCCAACATAAGAGGGGCACTTTGATTTTGTAACTGAAAGAACAGAAGGAAGTATTAGTAAATTTCAGATGCCCTTTACTTGCTCTTCTCCCGTTGCCTCATGATTTTAAACATTTTCAAACATAAACATTTAAATATTCTGAAATAATGTAGTTACAGTAGTCACTGGTAAAATCTGCAGTTAACCTTTGCAACCAACAACATGATTTTCAAGAGCAGTTGTAAAGTAATTAGAATTTGAAAGGAGAAATATGATCTCAACTATGTGATTCTATAGTTAATGATACTGGAAGGAATTTAAAAATAAGCACCTGAACTGCAGGATCATCTCCTGAATTTCAGATGATGTTCTACAAGCAAACAATCACAATACCTGTAACAATGGCTCCATGGAGATCAGCTTTGAGCAGCTTGCCCTGAATCATATGGGGTTGCCTTGAAGAAGAGAACGGGATCAAAGAAGAAGGAAAAAAATCAAATGAACTGTCAGATTTACAAAATCTAACCATAACTATTATAATCACAATAATTGTGTGATTCTGTGACAATATGCTTATCAGTTAGCCACAGTGTTTCAAGCAGAAACTCAATAAAACTGGAAGTATTTAGTGTACAAAACTCTGACTAAATTTACAATACGCCAACGTACGCATCGGGTTTGAGTCCATGGCACAGGTCTCTGATGTACTGTTTCCAGAGCTCGTGGAGTGGGAGGAAGATGGCATATCTGCAGTAAAAAAAAAGATAAATTAGAAGTATTACACAAAATTTAGGTATAAGAAAGTCCATTGGTTAATCACTGAAGCAGTCTGTATTTTCAGAGTTAACATTTTTAAGTTACACAGCCTTCAGTTGCCCTGCAAGGTGCCCCACTCCAAACAGCTGCTTTACTTTATAAAGCAAGCACAAAGCATGCTCTTCTCTTCCAACCCAAAACTGTGATGTCTTTTAGAGCATCAGGTTAAGACTGAAGAGATCTCTCCTTTTTTCCCCACTCTTTTATCTCTGTTAGCAAAGCAGGGTCTTCATTCAGCATGATAAATTCAAGGAACCTTATGCAGAATTTTGACTTTTTGGTCACAGACAGTCCAACTTTACAAACTGAAAGCAGAGGGGATTGTGTCTGGGTTTGATTTCTTGTCATACTGAGGTACACAAAATGAGCTCAACAGAAATGAATCTTTCACCTGTGCACACAAGAGAACTCTTTTCATGCTGAAATGGCACAAGTAGTGTTTCAGGCTGACTTTACACACTGCAGGGTTCCTATCCACATCAACATGCTGCTGCTTTTACACACTTTTGATGCATTACTACACAAAGAAGACATTTAAAGCCCTACCTTTGCTCCTCAGGTTCAATTTCAAACAGACGCAGCTCTCGCCTCTCCTTGGCAGTAAAACCTTTTGTCTTCTTCCTCTTTTGCTTGGTCTTTTTTTTGTGATAATGCTCCAGAACGACAGCTTTCCTAGTCAGCATGTCCTGGATGGCTTCATCTTTCATTTTGGGCATGCTGCGCTTCAGGAAGGTGTGTACAAAGGCCTTGGCTTTCTCTGAGCCCTGGGGCTAAAGACACGTGAAAGGATGCTTTAAAAAGGTATGTGTTAATTAAGTTAGAGCTTGCTGCTGACCGGGGGTTCCATCAAGTCGGCAAAATCCCGGTGGGAATGGGAGATCTTCCCGTCAGAGCCAGTGGAGGGAGATGCTCCCACGCCGAAGGCGCTGCGGGCACTCCCCGGCCCGCCCTGGGACTCGCGTTTTGGAGGAAAAGCCCATGCTCTGCATTTACTTTGAAACAGCGAGTTCCGAGAGGGATACACGGGGAACCCGGGGACCCGGCCCGCCCCGGCCCGTCGGTGCCTAACGGGGTTCAAAGGCCGTGCAGGAGGGGGAATGGCCAGGTGCCCCCGGCGGGCGTTCCGGGGCCCCAGGGGCGGTACCTGCAGCCGCAGCTCCCCGGTCTCCTCGGGCTGCAGCCGGCGGTACAGCTGTCCTGCAAGGCACGGCGGAGCGGGGTCAGCCCCGTCCTGCCCCGCACCGCCCTCCCTGCATCCCTCATCCTCCATCGCCCTCCCTGCATCCCTCATCCTGCATCGCCCTCCCTACACCCTCATCCTGCACCGCCCTCCCTGCACCCTTCATTCTCCATCGCCCTCCCTGCACTCCCCCGCATCCCTCACCTTGCACCGCCCACCCTCCATCCCTCGCCCTCCACTGCTTTCCCCTCATCCCCTCACTCTCCACCGCTCTCCCCATGTCCTTCACACTCCATCCCTCGCCCTCCACTGCTTTCCCCTCATCCCCTCACTCTCCACCGCTCTCCCCTCGTCCTTCACACTCCATACCTCGCCCTCTATCCCTCACCCTCCACCACCTCACCCTTCATCCCTCACCCTCCACAGCTCTCCCCTCATCCCTCACCCTCATCCACCGCTCTCCCCTCATCCACCGCTCTCCCCTCATCCCTCACCCTCATCCCTCTCTGTTCCTCTCCCCCATCCCTCTGTCCCCTCTCTCTCCCCTGTCCCCTCACCCTCCATGGTGTCGCAGCGCAGCCGGCGCGTGCTGATGACGAGCCGGCGCGCATGCGCACAGCGGCGCCCCCGACCCGGCCACCAGGCGGCGCCGCCGCCCGCGGGAGCCGGCGGCTGCCGTGAGGGGAGCGCCTGTGGCCATTGGCTGTTCACTGCTCTTGTACTAATAAATTCTGTGACCTGGGGCACACTGAGCAACAGATATTTCATTTACTGTAATGGGGGAGTTTCTTTTTAAAAGCCCTGTCAATCATGCCGTCTGTAACACAGGCCACCTCGTTTTCTGTGGTCATCCTCCGTGTGGGTCTGGTCGCGGACCCGTCAGGCGCACGAGTCTGGTGTGGAGTTCTGACATGTCCGTGTCCTTCGCACAGGAACAGCAGGTCTGACACTCCCCATGGGCTGCCTGGCCGTGCCAGTCCTCACTTCTCCCTCATGCTGCAGTCACTCCCACTACAGATGCTGAGATGCACATTTACACTTTTCCTTCTGTTGCCTCATTTGCTCTGGAGATCTCCCTCGCCCCCGAGATTTAGCAGTGTGGTGCTGGAGCCAGCCACTGCCCAGGCTCCAGGGCCATGGCAGGCACAGGTCCTCTCTAAACTGAACTAAAGTTCCTCCATTCCCTCCTCTCCTGGTAGGAGAGTTCTTTCCTAGTCCCACCCTGTCCCACACGGCCTCTCCAGCCACAGCCCTGGCTCTGCTCTCAGTGGATAACAGTGCGTCAGATCTGTCCTGGGGCTGCACACCCAGCACATGAGATCTTGGTTAAAATCAGCCCTCCTGTTTCTAGCAATCAGGGTCAAGGCATAGGAAGATGCCACTCAATGTGAGATTTACGTGCTCTGACACATCAGGGCCTCTTTCCTTCTGGGGCAGGACAAAGTCCTGCTCACTTACAAAACAGAAGTGTCTTGAAACCAGCATGGCCAATTCCTTTTCTTGCCAGCCCAGTCCAACTCCTGCAGTCCTCTGCTCGGGCATTATTCTTCTCCAAATACAGAAAAGATTTATATTCTTGTCCCATGGCAATATTTGCTTAGCAGATAATTAAGCACTGCTTGGTAAACGGTATTTGGGGAGGGAGTTGTGGAGGCAGGGTATAGGAAACATGATGATTTTGTTGAGTGCTGCTGTGGGGGCA